TATATATGGTTAATGAATATTTAATACGTGCGGATTGGGAAATTGAAAATGTATGATAAGTCCTCAGAATATTTTTGATTCTTTTTCGGTGAATCTCTTTATTTTTATCATCAAAAGATTGATAATTAGGAATAAGTTCAATGCAAGCTTTATTAACGATAATAGATTGTTTATGCGTTGAAAAATTATTTTGGTAATCATAAGCAAAATTTGGCACTAGATGTGTATTTTGTAAATCTGTTAATGGAGGATTATCGGTTAAATGATTAGAAATTTGGGAAGAATAAGAAGCAGTTTCATTAGGTAGTGAGGATTGATGCTGAGGGATTTGACGCTGAATATCCGAATTTATTGTTGCATTTTGTCTTTGATTTGTGTTTGAAGGAGACTCCACTTATTGTTGCATTTTGTCTTTGATTTGTGTTTGGAAATGAAACTGCATTTATTGTTGCATTTTGTCTTTGATTTGTGTTTGGAAATGAAACTGCATTTATTGTTGCAGTTTGTCTTTGATTTGTGTTTGGAGGAGAAACTCCACTTATTGTTCATTTTGTCTTATATTTGAATTTTGAGCAGTTACTCCACTTATTGTTGCAGTTTGTTCATCTAATAAAATTTGTTCATTCTCCTCCTCTTTGAATTCATTGAATTCTTCGGAACTTAAATATCTGTTTAATAGAGAATCCGAGTTTTCGTTGTCTTCATCTTGAAATGGCCAATTCTTTCTTATATTGTTATCTTTATCATGAGTTTCTATAGAAAAATCATTTTTATCCTTTTGTTTACTTTCTTCATCATAATCGATATCACTATCATTCTCACTATAAGAATCTTCAGCTTCTTCATTTGGTAAAATTGTCTCATATAATTTATTTTTATTTCCATCTGAAATTGTTACTTTATACTCTCCTTCTAACATTTTTTTAATTTCATCAACAGGATTGAATACTTCCTGAAGACAATTGAAATTCATGATTTTAATTGCTTCTTCTATTATGTTATTGCTCATATACAACGCAAACTTGGCTGCCCACAATAAATTTTCGTCATTTTGTGATATTTGATTAATCTTTTTGTCTTGATCTTCAGAAGTTTTTATACTGTTTACAATCGGAATTGAAAATAAGTTAAAAGGCTTCTTTTTTCTTTTAATATTGATAGTAATTTTGTTATTACAGCGCAAATTATCCAGAACACCTAAATTTTTGTTATTTGTTGTTAATTCGAATGTGTTTAGAGGTAAACTTAGCTTGTGAGATATATATAAATAAAGTGTTAATGCTTTAACCGCTCTTGGTGGAATGACATATAATTTTGTATCCTTATAAATAAATTTAATGTAGTTTTCCATTTTTGTCACTTTTTAAGATCTTACAAAATATAGTTGATTTTTATCACTATTGAAATAAGATAAATAATGTAAGGACTCTAATTTTGTTATAAATATGAATGAAAACAGTAAAATGGATAACTTAAATATATAAAAATAAATATTGGAACAAAGCTATAACAAATTTTCATTCTTATTTATAAATTGATAAACCAAAGTAATACATTTTATTACATTTCGTGTAACATATACTAATATATAGATATTTTTTGAGATAATGTATTTATCTGTAAAAATTGTATGTGATCAAATTTGATTGATAAATTTATTCAGTAATAATAAATTGCATGTACAATATATTATTGTCTTGCCATTTTTTTGCTCATAATAAAAAATCTTTAAAAATGATAACAATAAAAGAGTATTAAGTAAAAATTTATACATCCAAAATATATTTCAGTAACAGCATAATACGCCTATGCTAATTTTTAGTTCTTAAATTAAATAGATGTCCCTAATCCCATAGATATTCACCAAACTTGGCAAATTCTGAACGTGATCTACATATCCCTAGCAAGTAGATCATATTGGTATACGTATCTTGATCAAATAAAAAGAATATTTGTTGAATAATTTCTGTTCAAATTAAAAGTTCTTCAACTTACGGTAAATCTATCTGCCTTAAAAAGTATTACGATATTATGCAAAGTCAATTTTCTCCAAAAAATATTTGAAGATGATACTTTAAGTATACCAAAAATACAAGAATTTTGAGAGAACTCAATGAATTTTTGTGAAGGTGGAGTTAAATTGAGAAGATTTTTGGTCAGAGAAAAACAAAAATTACTATCTGATAAAATGGTATTAAAATGAAAAAAGTTTAAACAAAGGAAATGAAGAATTTATATTATATTAGAATTTAAAGAGTAAATATAAAAGATTGAAAGAAAGAATAATAATAGGATTCTTGAATGCAACATTTGGAATGATGTTTCCAGTTGTAGATGTGTTAAGCAAAGAGAGATAATGATAGTTTCTTGAGTTTTGAGTTAAGCTTGTTGTAGATGAGAGAGAAATTTTGACGAGACTGAGGAACTTCATTTGGAATGATGTTTCCAGTTGTAGATGTGTTAAGCAAAGAGAGATAATGATAGTTTCTTGAGTTTTTGCAATTAACCATCCTCAATGACTATTGTTTTAATATAATTTTTAAATTTTTTAAAACTGACATTTTAGTTGTATATTTTTTCTAACAAAGGTACATTCACTAGGCGATAACAGTAAAATGGGATGAAAATATGATAAATAGCATCCCTATATAGTGCCAAACAATATTTATACGGGCCAAAAAAATTTGGCTAGAGATTTGGCGAGTTATAAAACTTAGAAAATTGAGAGGGATTTTTATTTTTGAATTTTTTTGGAAAGTTAAAATTGCGATTAAAAATCGATTTCCAGGAGAACTAAGCATCTCATCATATATTTAAATCGATAAAAATATTAAATAATAGTTGAATAGTATAACAACGTGAAATTATGGCTGAATCTACAGAAAAAATGAACATATTTGACATTTTTGAAAATTCATACGTTAGATGGTGACAGACTCATAAACTATACTTTAGCTAAGATTGATATATGGTTTCAACAACACATGGTTAAAATTGTAAAAATATTTTAGATTTCAAAAAATATATATGGTAATATAATGGAACAAAGTCAACAAATAGCATGTTAAATATGTTATAATTAACTTTTTATTAGATCCAATAGTAGATATCGAATGGTTTCCAGCTTTATGGTTAAATATTTTCTTTTCGAGCTTCTCTTTAACTGTTGTATTAAGGTTGTAAATTTTTGATGCTAGAAACTATGGAATCTTCTTTGCTGCTGCATTTTTCTTGAGAGTTCTTGCAATTTCGAATAGATCTGCGCATTGTATGAAATTGAGGCTTTAAAATATCTTGAAAACAGAATAGGACTGCTTTTCCAAAGGAATGCTTACTTGTAAATCAGAGAGTTTCAAAATTGAGAGCAAGATTATCATCATAACTTTCGATTTTGCTGCGAAAAAGGAAGACAAGTAATTAACAAATCATTTACTGTTGTTCATCAAAAGAAGAAAACTTTGATAACAACTAATGATGATAAAATCAAGCTATCTTTTAATATTTTAAATTGATAAGACATTCAAAATATTTGAATGGTTTAAAATATTTTCTTTTAATTTCTATAAGATATTATCATGATTATATAATAAAATTTAAATTTTTATTCAAAAAGGCAATATTTCAAACTTTTAATTTCAAAAATCTTAATTCTGCAATAAGTGTATTTAATTGTAGCAAATTTAATGATCCTTCGTCATGCTTAGCAATTTGGAACTCATAAATTAATGATTTCTTCAAGTAAAATTCTGCATTATTTCAAAAGTCAATAATTCTCTAGTAACTTTTCTTCAAACCCTAACCATTATATTATATGTATAATGGAGAATAATTGCAAAGAAAGATAGCCGAATTTACTGGGTAGTTCTTGTGATGCGAAATAATTGCAAATTAACACATAGTTTTAACAGCATCAATCTCTTTTTGCTCTCATTTAAATGCATTCGCACACTTTAATTTTGAAATATAAGAGTTTTGGAAATTATCAAATTTATCTGCTCAAATACTATAGATCTTCATAAGTGTTAATAGAATCACCAGCCTTACATATAGTGTTTAATATAATGATGCACATCATACTGGGATTTATTCCTTATTCATCTAGTTATTATAAGATTTACAACCCCATGAAAATTTAAAATTTTGTCAAAAATAGTGAATGTACCTTTTTTCTAACACAACTATCAATAAATTGTAATATCATTATACTATATATTAATATGAATTTTTATAGAAAAGCTTTTTTTTTTCTCAATTTTTAATTTCATTTCAGTCTCTAAACTTTCTTACTATGTAAAAACGTATTATTATAGTAATAAAATAAAATACATGTTTATTCGATCTCGTATTTCAAAAAAATAAAATTACTTATATAAAAAGATTCTCTTTAGTCAACTTTCTTTTTGAATCTCTAATAAGTTTTTACTGTTGCTTCTATATATTAAGTATTGATTCTTGTAGTAAAGAAAATCCGGAACGTTTATTTATTAGAATACTCGAACTTTGACTTACATATTACTAATTGTAATTATTTTCAAGAGCTATTTCTATTACTCCTACTTGTTCGGCTTAAAATCTGCTATATTGTTAAGATAAACTAAGTCTAAATTTTGAACCATTTTTTGAAGTTTAAAGTGTAATACATATCGATTTTTTATCCGAATTTAAGAATTGCTTCAAAGTTTTAGCGTGAAATCGTGCATTTTTTCTAATGAAATTGTTATTATAAGATAAGCAATCTGAGTTTTTTTGAATAATATGTCACTACACATGATAGAGCGTTACGTGCTGAAAAGTTACGCTTCGTTCTGAAAGTGGTAATGAAGTTTTATTAGAATTCATCAAAAAAACGTATGAAAATAATCGTATGTCAAAATGTGAGCACTTCTCAAAATTTGCTCACATTTTGACTATTTTTGTGAGATCTTCCTCACAATTTTTGACAAACGTACAAAAAGTGCCAAAATGTGAGCAAATGTGAGCAAATTTTTTATCTCATAATTTTAAACATTTCTATTCATCAATATTTCATCATATGAACTTCTATACTGTGGTGGTGTACCTGTTGGATGATATTTCAAACCTTCATCCGGTGTCCATGTCCAATCTGTAGTCCTAGTAAACCAAACTTGAGGAGGATTTGTCACCTTTGAACAGTAAGTGTCATTTTCACCCTGAATGATTGGATAAGCTTTCACTTGTACTGTAACTTGCGAGTTGAAAGTTTCTAATCCATCAAAGAATATACCCGCTCCATCACGTTGAACTGGAATAGTGCATAAGAATGAAGTTTGGTCTTTCCATGTTCTAGCTAATGGCGTGCCATCATCTGCATTCAGTGGTCTAGTTAATGAGTCCTCGTATTCTTCTGTGCATTCATTCACTCCATCTAAATCAGAAGCTTGAAGCATACGTGTAAAGAATATGTCACCCACTGTGGTCATCGCTTGATCGGGGAAGTTTCTGGAATCTATAGTGACCTGAAGACCTCGAAGCATTGGATTTTCTAAAACTGTTCTTTGCATTGCATTCTTCGGAAATGCTAACACAACATCTGTAACATTATGAAGAGCGTATGAGAAATCAGAGCTAATACCTTCAGGAGTGATGCAACCTCCATTTAGTGAACGAACGTCAATATGTTGAGCTGGAATCATGAATGGATCTTCCTTACTGAATAAACGTGGTATTGCTTTAACTGATTCTTCAATTAAACCGTATCCTGGTGTAATGCATTTATCCTCTAAAACTTCCATCTTTGTGCATGAAATAATAACGTCATCAACTGTTGCGTCAGCAGATGTAGCGGCTAAGCTTGTAATTAATTTGGCAGGAAGTCCGATTTGTTGGAATTTGCGATCATATTTATAAACATGATTCATAATCTTTTCATAATTTTCATCAGTTATCTTTTCATAAACGTAATTTTGTAAATCAGCAACTCTTAACGGGTCAACCTGACAAAATACTAAAGTATCCCTGAAAACATAATATTTAAGAATGATTTCACCAAATGATTTAGGATAATCATCGAACGCCTGAAATGCTAACAAATCATTTACCGGAATAATCATATCAAAAGTGACATCAACTTCTTCATTTGCTTTCTTGAAAACTTCTGAAGGGTCAATATATTTACCACATACTGAGTTATCATATTTTTGAACATTATTATATAACGAATGAACAAACTTTTTAACTTTCCTTTCTGATTTTGGTTTATATGTTGCAAATGCGAAAGATTCACGGGCGCAATCCATCTGAAGATAACCTGCATCACCTCTTTCGGTTTCTACTTCTAATTGTTTAAAGCTTTGATTTGATGATTTGTAACCAACGAATAAACGCATGCATTTAAAAGCGGCATCACATGTGAAAGCTTTATTTGAAACTAGAGTTGCTTTAACTTTGCGTTTAATATATGTGTCACCTAATTGGTTCACATCATGAGCCGGATTTGTAATTCTTAAATGAGTTTGTTTATCATCAAAATATGGAGTATCAGAGTCATAGCATGAACTTTCAAGTTCTCTATAATATCTTCTACGTCATTCTTTGCGAATATTTCATTTATCTTTTCGAATGAATGAAACACATTTCCATTAATCGGTTTAGTGTTTGGCACCAAATAGTTAGTCGTCATTTATTAATAAATAAAAAATCAAAATTAAAAGATGAAAATGAATTTTTAATTTTAATGAAATAATCAACTATGGCTGCAGGTATATTTAAGAAACTGTGGAATAGAGTAAAAAGAGGAGCGAGTAAAGTTTGGGAAACATTGAAGAAGAGGGCAAATTGGATATTTAAGAATAAAGAAGCAATTAGTGACGTTGCTGAATCAATAACACCAAAAGCTGCCCCAATAAGAGAAGTTTTAAATAAAGGAGAAAAAGTTTATCAAAGACTACAACCGATACTAAGATAAAAATAATTTTAAGCCGCTAAGCAGCGAGATGATCCATAGGATCTCATATTTATTTTTCCACTATCTACCTCCTATTTTATTAAGTATTCTTTCAGCAATTCCACCAACTGCGTTACCTGCTTGTGCTCCCATCGCCGGATTACCTGCTTTAGTACCTAATACACCACCTATGATAGTTCCTGCCGTTTTCGCTACTGGTGCCAAAAAGTTTGCAACGGGTTTAATAATCTTTTTATAAACCCAACCCGCAGCTTTCTTAATTCCATCCCATAATTTTTTAAAGAATCCTGCCGCCATTTCTGATTTAATATTAATTAAAAAATATATTTCATCACTTATATTCTAATTTTTATTATGATAAATGATAAATGAAAATAAAAATAAATGAAACAGAGGAGGAAGAAATAAATGAAAGTGAAAATGTTCAACAAAAAAATAAACGTTGTTAAACCAATTACTGAAATAAAATTTTTTTCATCTGTTGAAGAATTTAATGACTGTTATGCAAATTATTTGAAGAATTGACAACATGTAAATTGAATAAAATGTTTAAAGTTGATGGATTCAAAATTTCAAAAATAAAAGGAGTGGTTAGTTTGAAATCTATTCCTCAATCAAGAATCACCTCATTAATGAAAATAGATGATTTAACAAAAAGAATAGAAGAGATTGAAGAAAGAATGAATCAAATAACTGATTTCATAAATTCAAATAATCATTAGTTTCTTAAAGTTCTATGTTGAACTCATCAAATTCTTCTTCATCATTACCATTACCTTTAGCGAGTTTATTTACTCTTTCAACTTTATCTTTTGATAGTCTATCGTTTAATTTTTTCTGAAGTTTTTCGTTACCAAGTTCTAAAATTTTACATGATGATATTTAAACCCGTTAAATTCTTTTTCCTCAGTTTTAATCATTAATCTACAAAGAACTTTAGTGAGGTGGTTTTGTTGTTTAAACCATTTATCCTTAATATTTGTTATAAATTCAATATCCGGAATTAATTCCCAAATTTTTGAATTTTCGATTAATTTACCATCAAATGCAAAAGCAATAGGTTTAATATTAAACTTACCTTTATAAAATAAACTTTGTATGCAATCATCAAAATAAACGTCTACTTGTTTAACCTGGGTGAGAATTGGTGAAAGTTTATCCATTAATTGATTCACAGTTACGAATTTTGATTCACTCATTTCTTACGAATTAAAAAAATAAATTATTCAAAAATGTAAGACATGAATTTTTAAAGTTTATTTTTTTATTCATGAAAATAATTATTTCTAATTTCTTTTACTCTCTCGTATATACTAGATTTAAAGAATTCAGAACATTTCCCATAATCTCCTAAATGTTTTCTTATCCCTAACGTGTGCCAGTTATTATATGAAACTGAATAAACTTTATCTTTATCTTTACACCTTTCATCACTTCCAATATATTTATATCTCATTTTGATTTAGCATTTTCATATTCATTAACGTTTAATAATTCACAGTCTTCCTTTTTAAATTGATGTTTAAGATATTCAGGATTTAATACTCTACGTTTATATGCTCCTAACTTAGTTCTAAAGGTTTTTCTACAAAATTTAGGAATTCCATCCTCTTTAATGTCATCAATGATTTCCATTTCATTATTTTCAATTTCTTCTTCTCGTTTATGGGGTCTTTGATTATGACTCCATTGATTCCATGAAATTAAATATTCTTTATCATTATATTTATACCTCATTAGCTTATTTTGGCTTTCATATTCATTTAATAATTCACAATCTTCATTTTTAAATTGAAGTTTAACCCATTCAGGATTTAAACAATGTTTAATTAATCGCGGAATATCTGACATCATCTATATATAGCTTCTTTTATAAAAGATAAAAAAATAAATTATTTTAAAATTAATGTTTTTTTTTAATGATTTATATAAAAATATATTTTAATGCATCGTCTATATATAGATGTAACAAAAAAAGTCACTAAACCCTTCATACTCTACTACTACGTGTTACATCTCATCGAGCTGATAATAACAAATTATATTATTGTATTCAATGTAATGATAATACATTTCTCTGGGTAACTCCAAACTCCATAAATGATGAAACAAATAAATTATTTGTAAGGTACTTTTATAATGACCGATCCTGTTGATGATGATTTATTTTTAACTCGAGAAGACAAAGATAATCCAAGCATTGTATTCAAAGAAAAATATAAAGATGAATAATATAACAATTTATAAATATAAACAAATAAAACAATTAATCAATTCCTTTAAGGAACTTATTATTATAATTATAGGCTGATTTGGCATTATCTCTTTTGATTCTGGAGTAGATTTATAATTATCATCATCTGAACTAGAATTATCGAGGAATTTTCGTTTAAAAGGCGAGGTTTTTGAATGGGTTTCTTTATTTGTTGTTGTTTTTGGAGTTGATTGTTGATAATTTTCTTTTGTGAAATTTTTGTTGTTGATTTGCTAATTTTAGGTGTATTGTAATTATACTTCTTTGGTGTATTGAATTTGTCTTGTTTGAGTCCGGATTCATCATCACTTGATGAAGAGAATATAAATCTTGATCCGTTTTTAAGAGTTAAAGGGGATATTTTATCTGGGTCACTATCGAATATATGGTTGAACTCAAATAGATATGTTTCATTAGACAAAACTGACTCTGAAAGTCGAGATCGATAATTCATTGTAGAAATGACCTGATATTTATCTGGATCTGTTTCGTATCTGTTCAGTTTAGGATATTTACTAACACGAAAGCCACGATGATCGTCATCACTAGCATAAACTCCGTCTTTTGGAATTCCAAGAAACAAAACTTCTTCGTTGTTTTCTTCTTCATATGAATATTCGTATTCAATATCAATATCAATTCCTGTGTTTAATTCTTGTTGTTCTTCAATAAATGCAGCATTTGGTTTTCTTTTGACTCTTTTTGAGCCTTTCTTAGGTTTTTCGTAAGGTTGACGAGGTTTGTAATAGTCATATTCTGGATAAAACTCGAAATTATCTTCTTTTTCTTCTTCTTCAAAATATGAATATGAATTTTTTGTATTTGTGGAAATTATTGATGTATTTATTTCAGATTTTTCTTCTGTAATGTCGTCAAGCTGTATTTGGTCTTGTGATGGAATTAATTCAGAAATTTTATTATTAATAGATTTTTTAATTGGTGATTCATTAAATAATTGATCTTCGGCTTCTTCTGATATACTTTCTAATATTAAATTTGAATTAGAATTGTTTCTTACAAAGTTATTTTGAAAATGTAGGATTTCGTTAATTCTTGTACTACTTCGCCGACTTTCTGATGCAGAATCATCGTTTTCGTAAGTTTGGTTTTGCTTTGGATGTGAAATTTGTCGCTTGCCTGCTCGATTTAAAATTTCTTTGATAGATTTACCTAATGTTGATCGTGGATTCTTAAGTCTTGTCTTAACCCTCATGTATGGAAATGCTTCTGAAACTTGGCAAATAACTTTTTTTTTGACAGTTGTCCCAAGATTCTTATTATATATTTGTCAAAAAAAAATCAGGCAATTAAGGCTGCAACCTATAGAAATAAAGGACAAAACATTAAACAGTTCAAGGATTACTATACACGTATGTGTGATGAGTATGTCAGGAAGTGGAAAGCATGTGTAATTGAAATTTTTATCATTTAATCAATAAACAAAATAGAAAAATGAAATTTACCAAAAAGAAAAT